GAAAAACAAAATAGCTGCAGGAAGACTGAAATATTTATGCAACAGCTACAGTTTTCGACCAAATCGATTTTGTTGTAATTCAGAAGGAATAGCTGGAAATTCAGGAAACTTTAAAAACGTATTTGTTTTATGTTATTTACAAATTTCTAGAAATGGTAAAATTTTTAAAATATTTTGACACTAGTTTTAGATATTTATAGCTATGTGTAATTTCAACTTTTTATTTTTTTTCAGTTGATATTCATAGAATTTTTGTTTCTCAGTAAAAAAGAACCTTGAATATTTTAAGGTTCAACATAAGTTGTTCTCAAAGCAATTTAAAATATCAAAAATTATATACTGAGAATTTTATTTTAGAAAAATTAATTATTACACTATGCATCCATGTACCTCCTAAACCTGTTATAATATATTTATTACACATTTTCAGAGTGGAAAAGTGCTCTAATGATGACCTAAGGGCTTGTCAATGTCGCTGTTAATATTGTTGGTGATTTTTTATTTATGTTTCGAAAGTTGATCTTTTGCCTGTTGGCGTAAACTTGGCAGAACAATGAAATGTAGAAATTAATTTTATAAAATGATCTAACACCGTTGTTGGATGATTTCCAAATAAAAACTCGCTGATGGCTTTGCTGGTTTATAAACGTCATAATAATAAATACATTTTTAACAATATTAACATTTAATGCTATGATGTAGATGACATGAATCACAGGGGTGCTGCCAGCCGTTTATATTATGGTAAACATAATATACTATCGATGGATAATATTAATCGTATAAAATATAAAATGTATTCATTTTTTTCTCTATGCATACTGTTTCATAATAATTGTTTTAACATTTTAGTTTATTTTTTTTCATTTTTTTCTAAAATATTGTTGAGGAAACGTTTAATGGTTTTTATTAATTTTTTTTTGCTGGAGGGGGGCTAAAAATTTTCATCTAATAACATCGTGTTATGAGATAATACGTTGAAAAATTTATTTTATTTCTAATGTCATTCCAGACTGGATGATCCTTAAAATGCTCATGTCCGAGTGTCTCGACGTATGTACTGTCCACCAGTAGGTAACTGTTTCCGAATATTATTATTATATTATACCCTGGCACCATACATTTTATTATTATTTACATTCATATTTGATTTTAACATTTTTTATTTGATTATTGATCCAATAACACTTGTCATTTATTTTTTTCCCTTAAATATTATTGAGCAATGGTCACAAGTCATGGATATGTGTCATACGAACATTTATAATATTTAAATCACTTATGAGACAGAGTGAGACCTTTAAAATTATTTTTTAACTAACCATAAGTCTGGATTATTCAAAGCATTGTCTATAGCATTCAAATACGTTCTTCTAATTCCATGCACACAAGTCAAGTGTGAATAAGTATTTTCAAAACTAAACTTAGCCAACGTCATCTGGATCCATTAACTTGTCTGATTGTTTAAAAAGTCATCATTTAATTTATATGTAGTATAATATTTGATATCATAATCTCCCAGCAATATAAATCTAAAAAACTACTATTTTAATAACAATTTATAATTTTTTTAAATTTATGTTGTATATTATGTTTATTGATTTTTTTGTTACAATAATAAGGCTATATTATTTTCTATTTTATGTGTACAAATTGTAAAAAAAATATGTAAAACATTATTTACATTTTTTTTAAATAATTACTATGCCAAATAGTTTTATTGAAATGTATTATAAGGTACCTACATATTTGTTTTAAATTTGTATGGAGCATTGGGGTCCATTAAAAACTACTGGGCCATAAGCCATGTCATGAGCCAGACAGACACTACTATGCCTGTACATAAAATACTGTTCAAAGTTTCCGTAAACTGATGTTTTCAATACATTAAAATATTTAATTAATTACAAATCATAGTATAGAATAAAGAGAGTATAGGTACCCATTGAAATGCATGTGTATACTTAATGTGTAATTATTTTCAATTGAAATCAGCTATCTTTAGAGCATATTCCAAAAATTCAAAACTCATCAGTGATGATCAAAAAAAAGTTTATTTGATTGAAGATAGGTAAATAATTGTTCACAATGTTCGTATACAATTTTAAAATAATTAAAAATGGAAAGAGTATTAAAATTACGTACTATCTATCAAAAAAACATTTTGCTTTATAAAAATAATAATAATCATAGTGTGTGCAATGAAATAATAAATTCAACAAAATCACTCGCTCCATACAAAATATAGGTAAATATATAAATAAGGCAATATAAAATAACACAAATCGTTTATATTAATTTAATAAATACTAAATTTAAAAAAAAACACTTTGTTATTTTGTTTTTTTATTAAATTAAATCTCTGGTAGTGTTCTTGATGATAAGCGCCGTTAAATCGAATCGGCATTAAAATGACCTCCAAACTAAATCGTAATCACAAATATCACGAACCATGCAGTAGCCGAATATGTTAGCACTACTATAGCATATGCCCTAGTGAAATCTTTGTTTTTATTTTTGTTGTATTAGTCCGGGCTTAATAATTTACCGATATTATTAATTAAATTCAAGTAGTGAATCTATGATAAATAATTTGCGATTTGTGTCCGTAAAAGGTTTATTTTATTTAATACCACTTTTCACTTCACAGCAATCTTACGATTTACCACAGACTACAATAGTAACAATAAGCATTGGGGACTATGGCCATTGGCATTCTGTGGAGTGGTTTCGGTGTGTCGAGGAACACATGCAAGTAGGAAGAGGATTTGTCACTAAAAATCTGTGTTGTCACCCATCCCGGAACTTGCGACGCAGGCCGATACTTGACTTCGGAACATGTTAGTGACTGAGGCCAACAACCGTCGTATCACACCAGTCCCCGATAATAATATTATTAATCTTGGAAGTTATGGATTCTAGCACAGTTATATTATAGATACGACAACCGTGGATTATGGTTTTCATGTTTTTTTTTCGGCGTTACCATGAGAACATATTTTGTATTGTGCACCACGGTAATGACTCATAATGACCGTTATCAAACCTCGGTAGCCTACTGGCCTATATATATTATTCGGTGGAAATCTTTTTAATACAATAAATGGTTTGTATTTGCAGTTTGCTGGCCGTGTTATTGCATTTTAGAAAAGTAACCGAACAATTTTTTTATTTCAAATGTCAATTTTCTCATCAGTATAGGCAAATATTAACCTTACGGATAATATTTAAATTGTGTTTATTTGCATGTGCCAGCTGCCCATAATAGGTACATTATCATAAAATAATATTATACACATATTATTAGCCTATTGCATATTACCCTGTGACTATATTATCTTCTAAAATTGTATTTTGTTATGTTTTTGGTTACTTGTATTTTGTTACATACGTTTTTTTATATAATCTTCTTTGTTTTGAACACTACTCCCATTGTTTCGAATCAGTTATGGCTCGTTCTACATTAGATTATATTATTTAATCAGTTATACTAGACGTCCCGATATCACATGGTACAAACCAGACCTTATAATGTAACGGCATAAAGCTAAACATAATAGCACGAGTCGCCAACCGCACAATATTACAGAGATCTGTTCAGGTCAGAATATTATGTAGATATTGTGAAACTTTCATTTGCAGCTATTTTCCCTCTTTATATTTTTTACAGTCAGTGCTAGCTTAAAATTGTAGTTACCTACCACTTGAGTATATCACTTAATAGTTCAATTATAAAAATATGCATTTTATTTGCATGGGTATATTTAGTAAATAATTGAAACTTAAAAAAATTACAATTTATAATTTTTCTGAATCACCGAAAATTAATTTAAATACCATAAAATACTTATGAATTCAAATACTACATTCAATTTAATGTTGTACTTATAAAAAAAAAAACTTAAATAAACAACGTCACACACTATTTGAATAAAAAACTAATTGTCATGTTTACATTGCATGTTATGAAAATAATAAAAATATGATGTGTATACATTTATTTTTTATTACGTCTGGAACAATGTAAAAATGCCCCTCTTTTTTATTGAGCTAAAACTGTGGATATTTGAGCTCACTCGGATATTTTTTTTACTCGTGTTGTTTCTAATGTCGATATCAAACGAACGAGAAAATTTACCTTGTAAACTATATAAAAGCCAATAAACTAACTGTTTGCAGGGATAGTAGATACTGAACCAATATTGACTTTTCACATTGCACGGGGTTAACTATAATATTCATCATTTAGTCAGGTTATGTAATAGCACAAAGTTTGATCAGTCTCAAGCTATTGACCAATGATGTATTATTTTAGAACTCGTTTTTTGACATATCATAATATCATAAACTGTTTATCATATGGCCAATCAACCAGCCCAAGGCTTATGTGAATATAGTTGGTAATCAATTTCTGTAGTTATGAAGACGGTTTTTGGCTGTATCACAGTAGTTATTTCCTACCACAAAATAATAACGATAAAACAAAATGAATTATATTTATCACATTATTTACAAAAACATTTAACTCAAAATACCAGTAGAGATGTATGTACCAGGTCCAAGTATATCAATATATCATGCTTGCATAATTTCATCCAAACATTCATATTATTGGTTATAGGTACAACTTTATACTTACGATGTCGTTTAAAACAAATCAGTCAAACATCAGAGAGACTTGTTATTATAACACATTCACTATAAAAGCCTTTGACCACGTCATGGTTTTCTGTCAATCGTTTGAATGGTGACGATATCGTTAGCCCACCGCTTTCTTGACGTTTAAAATAATAATATTTTTAGATTCAAATACAGCGTTGTGCCTTTATGGAAACATACCAAAAAAAAAAATCACCAGGATCTTGACGTAAACGTTACAAAAACACATTCATCTCCAATTCTGGTGGAGCCTGCAGTAACGTGCAGTGGACCGAAGTAGCGGTTTCGCCCACCCACCCTTCTACCCACAACCTTTGTTTATACCTACTACGCATTTCATTTTAAAACTATATTTTCAAGAAATATCCTTCACGTTTGGTCTCAGATGAAAAATACCCATTATAAATATGAAAGTAAATGACTCTTCCAATAGGCAGGTCGTCGAGACGGTTTCGCTAACTTAAAAAAAAAAGTAAGCTCGCAAATTACACCTTTCACATTCGTAATGTATTTTTTTATCTTTTATTTCGTATATCGATTGTTTAACATAATAATAATTTGCTTGACAAAATGTAACATGACGGCCACTCATAAAAATATATATATTTGTTATTCTCTTTATATTTTATTTTGACGGTGTCAATTTTAAGTGTCCATTTCGTCTAAAGATTAAAAACCAATTTTACGGATATTCATTTGGAATTATAGGTGATAGTCTTGTGGATATGATGCACAAATATCACAGTAAAACGATCCACTCAATAAACCCATTTCAAAAATACCGTATTTTCACAATGAATCATCTTTAACTAGGTAGTCGTGTCCACTTCAATCAATGTCAAATTCCTGGTAGACTCGAAACCTGCAATACATAAATCCACTGATTAAGCTTAAAATAAACATCAAGTGTTATACCCAATATGAATGCTTCAGCTTGTTATCACTGTCATTACTTACCATTGTATTGTATTCATTCACAAATCACTGTTAATTTATTTGGGTACTAGAAGTCTTTTTACTCATAGATAATCGTATATTTGATCTAAACATTTGTGGTTTTGTCGGTGTAGAGTATATTTGGAAAATACTTAGACTGAAGTTCTAAACAAACAAAAATGGTACTATTCTGTTTAGGTAAAGTATCAGATGCCATATTAACAATCGTGACGGAATGTCACAGTATCTTGAAATAATATGCATAGGTAAGGTAAAGGGCAAAGTGAGTTTTTCGGACATATTGCCCATTAATTTTAAGCAACATTAAAACATATAATTAATAAGATAAATATTATAGTTAAGACCTTTCATGATCACAAACGTAAAATAAATCGTTTGTATTGTTAATACTAAGACATGAAGATATTAAAATATGAAATTTCTATTTTTAAGCTTTACATATTAGTTTTTGTGTATGTTTTTATTTATTACACAACTATAAGATTATAAAAATAAATATATTATAACTTTAACTTTAAGAAGTTTTTGAAACATAGTACATTAGTGTAAAATATAATATAATATTAATAGTTACATGATTCTAAGATTGCAACTAACTTTAAGTTCTAAAATGTAATTCACCGAATTTAAAACCAATGAATACAAAGAAACTTAGCTCCAAAATGTGGTTGATATCAAAAAGTGTGCAACGTCGTACAGTATGTGGTTTTAGTCTAATGAAAATGAAAATGTACAATAACTTTCTATTAACAGTAATGTCTTAATAATTTAGCACTGATGCGTTATTATGTAGGTATAAATAAATATTATTAACATAATTCATAAGCTTAATACAAACATTGGTTGATGTTATACAACAATAATGTAAGGCCCCAATGTGTATCTCTGTTTTGGATACAAACCTGCATATTTTAATTCAGAGAAAATGCTCGTTTACTAGTGCAGTATATTTTCAATTCGTATAGGTGTGTTTATGAGCAAGCTGCCATGTGTATGATCTACATGTTTATTATATAGCTGTTTTAGCTATTATTTCAGTTTTACAGTGAAAAGTATAATTCAGTGAAATATATTTAAAATGTACGACTAATAAAATTGAAATTTAACAACACCCTTAGTTACTAGGAATTAATTGTTACTCAATTTAGGGTTCTACAATCACATAATATACGTACAATAAACCATTAGATTTTAACATGGTAAGTAATTTATTTCACAAACATTAATAGAAATTAATAATGGCATTGAAGGCACTTTGAAGTTAATGTCAATAAAAAAAAATGTCAGCTATGTATTGAATAATGATTTTATCGAAACATACTATGTAATTACTAATTACCAATAGGTATGAAATTAATTTCAAAATCAATTTTAAATATCAAACAAAAATTAATAAAAATTTTCAATGAAATCAAATTTGAAATTGTTTGTAATGATATTCAACCTGTATATCAAAATTAAAAAATTTTAATTAACGATTTATATCAAAAAAAAAAATGATTTTTTTATAACTCGTATATTCAAATTAATTTAAAATTGAATTAAAATTAAAAATTCAACAATAACCAACAGTTCAAACAATAATGTTCACCGGTATTCGGTGGGTAATTCCATTTTTTTAGTACTGTTTCACAGCCACGTAAAACAAAGTGAAAATGTAACGCTCAAACCAATATGCGGATATGGCTCGTAGGGTTAAATCGTAAAACCGTAAAATGGATATTTTAAATAAAAATAAAAAAGAAGAAGTTTGTTTAAAATTGTGTTAAAATCAGAAAAAAATTATAAATTTAAAAAATCAGTGCATTATTTTTAAATTTAATCAGAAAAAAACTAATATCGATTAGCAAAATTTAAATTGAAATAGAAAAATGTAATTTCGACTCCAAGCCTGGAAGGCCAATAGTATACATTTCATAGGTATACATATAGTTGTAGTGTAGAGGTGACAGTTTTAAATAAATAAACGTGGTAACTGGTAAGTATTTAAATTTCAAATGTTTTTTAAACGGTTCGAAATATTACTATGCGGATTTTCTTTGCTTTTTATCAATAATCCACAGTAAAAATAGTGTTTCTCAAAAAAATTATAAAACGGGAATAGTACTTTTTGAACGTCACCTATCTCCCAATTATCAAATTTCTCAGAGTACCTATGTATATTGATCATATTTCATCATAAATAACTATTTATCGTCTTGAAATAAGATGTCATCATTATTGTACCAACAGAAGTATTCATATTACATTGTGTTTCAGGTTCACCTAAACATTGCCACCAAATAATGTAGAACTCAAATGACTTTTTCAACATTTAATTATTTATTGTTTTCCATTAGTCTAATAACAGGAATCTACATAGTTCAAAAATTCGATTCATACCACACGGGATATCCTATAAAACATATATTTTTTTCTTCTGAGTTATATTTTTTGACTTATAATTCATTAATTCGATTTTTTTAATTTCAGAAGTCACAAATATCATCACTTAGAAGTTAGAAAATATTTATTTCCTAATTAGTTTTTAAAAATAATTTTTAGTTGTTAACCTATGGTTTTTATAATTTTTTTGATTTATTTTAAGTACATTTCTATAATCTCACAAACCATCAAAACTCTAGACTTGCTACTCAGTATATTGGTGAAAATAGTTATATTATTGACATAGGTGCTCATACATAGTACTCACTTTAATTACAATGTACATTTGAGCGAACGCAAATGTAAGTAAACCTTAATGAGAGATGTAAATAATCGTATATGTAAATAAATTGTGTATATTATAATTTCACAGCACGTCGCGGTCGTGTTTTAATTGTGATTTTCTCAATTCAATCGGAACCAAGCGAAGACAATGTTTTGTGTATTCAGTTACTGTACCTAACTGTATATTTAGCTTTTTTTTAATAACAAAATCATTGATAAAATAAAAGAAGTGAAAACAACTGCAAAAACTACAAATAAATTGAAACATATTAAAAATATATATACCTACCTATAATGTAATTACATAACACAGTCGAACGTAGAAATTTCAAAATCAACTGTGCCAATACTGACAATCAATTTTCGTAATGAAGGGAATTCTAGGTTTAACATTACTACCAGGGACTTATTGATATATTATTATGATAGATTTTAAAATGTAGACAAAGACACAACAATACCAAAATTATACCATCATTAAACGAATATGAGTTAAGTCCACACATAATGATTGAGACTTATATTACTTTGGTAGTAAAAAAAAATACCTATAAATATTGTGTTTATCAGTTCAGTCGATTGGTATATTAAAAGAATCAAAAAATATTTTTGAGATAGTCACAAAAATGTAGTTTGCAAGTCACATTTCTAATAAATAATTTTTAATTTCCCAAAAATTAAAATAATCAATAAATTCATATTAAAGCACTGGGAATCGTATGACGTCTGGTCTATATTTTATTTTTCAATAATAACAATTGTATTTTTGGGCGAAATATATAATATTATGTACATATTTTATAGATAATTATTAAAATCAAATAATTACTTTTGTTTATGGGTTATAAATTTGTTAATGTTTCAACTTTAAAAAGTATATTTCAAAATCTTAAATAAACGCATATAATAATATTTTTTAAGATCGTGTTTAGGTACATATATTTGCATATCTTTAAGAGAATTGTTCGTTGTTTTATAGCGCATAAAATTTAAAATGAAATAAATAAAACTCTAATAAAAACAACCGCCCTTAAAACAGTAACCAATGATGCGTTGAATGCCAATGTCCATTTTTTTTTTATGTTAATCAAATACTGCATTTGTTTGTTTAGTAATACAATATGATGTAAAAATATACAATGATTCGAAACCACGTTTGTTTTTTTTTTTTTTTTTGTACAATGCATCGCACATATAAGTTTATAGATTTATTAAACAAAACATAAATATACCGAACATTAGGTAATAATTACAGTTCCTCTATTATAGTAACTCACATTTATTTACCTTCGGAGCAGTGCTCTAGAAAGTGGTAAAAGTCAAATAAATAGAAGTGCTAAATATTAAAAAGCTCTATAAATCATATTATATTTTATGGATAGAAAACATGTCTGGCCGAGTTGAAAAGAAATTTTAAAATGTGAATGCGCCAAACGGTGGTTAGCGAGGCACTTGGTCTAGTATATTCAGTACACATACATTTATTTTCAACAAATCAATAAAATATCATATAACCAAATAATATTATGTTGTACAAAGTATTTTATGAGTAGGTAGGTCGTAGGTAGGTATTTCGATAGAACTCAGTATAGCTCACTATATTATACTGGTATTATTATATTTCACGTATGGCCTCGAACGAGGTTTTCCCTCATCATTTCTCGCTAATTTTGACAATCTATTTGAAATATTTTTAAAACAAAAGTTTGAAGCATATCATATGCATCACGTGTTTTTACTTTTACTGTAGTCTACCTTCGCTGTTCGTTTTTCGTAGTGATCAAATGTGGTAATAAATGTAAAAGTTTTATGTCGAGTATAGTGTCTAACATGATCCCTGTGATATTTGCAATTACTTGTTTACATTTAATACGTACGCTGTTCGTATAGAAAAGATTTGGAGATAAATTTTAATATAGGTACTTCGCCTGCATACACTTGTGCGAATAAAATATTAAACATTGTGCAAACAAGATCCAAAAATATATAAACCATTAAACTATGTTATATCCTTTAAAATTAGTAGTAACTACACGTTGTTTATACATTGAGTTTCTATGAACTTTGTACGGAATTTCCACTAAAGGTTCTTTCGAATAATTTAACGCAATGCATCATTTACATTGAACTTTTTATTCCGTCCCAATATTCATAATATAATGGCAAAAAATATGTATTGTTTTTTTGCTTTTTACT